GGGCCAATATAGAGAAAAGAAATACTGTTTGTTATATGAACAAAATTCATAGCAGTATTATGACTGATATGTGAATACAACATTTTAAAGACCAGTATGACTCTCATAGCAAACAGTGATTGTTCCCTTAAACAGCATTAACCAGCTGATCTTTGTAGCAGAGACTTGATGTGCCTCCTGTGAGGTACAAAATAAATTTTAGTACATGATTTAAAAGAAATTCAGATTTTAGAGAGTTAATACACTGCAGTAATTGTATTTTCAGATTTCCTTCTCCCCAAAATTGAGACCTAGATATGCTATTGTGCATCATCTCCCTCCAGCTATGGTGCCATTTTTAATATACTAAATCTCTTTATTGCCCTCAAACATAATCTCTCTTTATGAAATGAATGGATCAAGTAAAATAGATTGGCTAATATTTTAGAATAATAAAATGACCTAACTAACTTGTACCCAGCTATTTTACGTTTTGTACCACATATATAGAAAAATAATATATATAATATAGTATAACATAGTATATATAGTATATATACATAATACAGTATAACATAATAAACACATGCATGGATAAAGTGACAGGAGGTTGGAGAAACTGCATAATGAGGAGCTTCATAACTTGTACTCTTCTCCAAGTTAGAATGATCAAGTCAAGGAGGATGAGTTCGGCAGCGCATATAGCATGAATGTGGGAGATGCGGAATTCATATAGGATATTGGTGGGAAAGCCAGAAGGAAAGAGACCACTGGGGAAACCAAGGCGTAGGTGGGTGGACAATATTAAAATGGACCTTAGAGAGATAGGATGGGATGGTATGGATTGGATTAATCTGGCTCATGACAGGGACCAGTGGAGGGCTCTTGTGAACATGGTAATGAACCTTCGGGTTCCATAAAATGCTGGGAAATTCTTGAGTAGCTGCAGAATTGGCGGTTCCTCCAGAAGGGCTCAGCTCCATGAGTAAATAAGTAAACACACACATACATACATTCACACATGCACACACCAACTTGCTACTGCTATTATACTCATTCAAAAACTATATCTTTTTGCACTTCAACTTACTGAATAATCAATTAAAAGTCAACTAAAAATATTAATAGTCAATAACTATGCATCTAAAGAATGAATTTATGTTAATGAAACAATTAATAAGCATAAAATTGACATATTAATTATTTGAACATATCCGTAATGGGTTTCTCGCCCTGAGGGAATGTTATAGATTGATGATGTCAGATAACAAGGTGCTGAGGAGAGCATGTGGATCTAAGAAAACGTAAGCAACAGGAGACTGGAGAAAACAGCATGAAGAAGAGTTTCAGAAGCTTTCCTCTTCACCAAATCAAAACAATAAGGTTGATGTTAGCAAGGCATGAAGTAAGCATGAAGGTGATGGGATATACACAGAACATTTTAGAGAGAAATCCTGAACTTAATAAAATGAAGACTGAACAATTAAGCTTGTATATTTTCACAGGTGGTTTTCCCTACTACCCATATCGGTCTCGGACAGGGATTGTTCTAGATGACACGGAATACAAACCAATGGGTGTCATGAACCGCCCTATCATTACAGCACCACCCCCTGTGGCTGGCCATGTGGGTGACATATTTGATGTCACTGTGACAGCAATTCAAGGGCCTGGAGGAACAAACACTGGTCAGCCATTTATCTATCCAGGTGAGTGTGTAATCTTATTTAAGTACCACTCCATTCCATTAGGTCAGTTTTAATATTATTCTATCTATGCCTAAGTCTCCCAGCAGCCTTTTCCTTTTGCACTTCAAATTTAGATTTTGTATTAATTTCTGATCTCCCCCATACATGGGACTTAGAGTCTTAAATGCAGTAGTGGATTTAAATTTTAGCTCATTTTACACAAAGTGTGTGCCTTTCTGACCCATTTTTGTAATATTATTCTAGGTTTTATAAGGATTTTGCTATACCAGCTTGAAATTATATTTGATGTTTAGGTCAACAGTCATTTTAATATAATGGCATTTGTTTGAGCTCCAAACTGAATATGTCACTGAGAATTATTTTACTACCTTCCAGTATATCTGTGTGTTTTCCACACCCTTAAATATCATTTAAGTTAAAAGATTTAATTTCATGCAACATGATCAAATTGTATTGCCATTGGTGGAAATCATACCTTCGTCATTTGCAATACTATAATAAAAATTTTGAATTTTATTTAAACTAGCATTATTTATTTAAGGTTTTATTTAATATATCTAGTGATGCATCTACAAAAGGCAAAGTCCATTATTAAGTTATTCCTTTTTTGTAGATAGTAACAAGGCATCTATGCAAAACTCTATTTATTGTTATATTTGATGGTAATAAGCAAAAGAACACTGCTCCTGCTGGGTATTGAACCACAGTCTTCTAGTCCATAGCCAGACTTTTCTGACTTTGTGAAAGGGGAGAATAGCATTTGCACTGGGTCTGGAGCTGTCTGTGCATTTCTGCTTTGAGCGCATCATACTGGAGCATTTTCAGAAGATGGTTATGTGCTTTTTGCAGTGGAGATAGAGGGGGTAAAGCTGTCAGGTTCTGCAGGCAGTGAAGTGTCAGTAATCACAAAGGCAGAAGAGGGTCAGCATTTTGTGTCAATTGATGGGAAGCGAACCTACATCAATCTGTTCGGCAGTAGCACAGAGCAGGGAGATGTCATGCCAACCAGAATTCAACAGGGTGGTCATACCCTGCAACCACAGAAATCTTCATCCACTATTGGAACAGGGTATGTATTCCAGCCACAGTCATATCAAGAGCACTGGAGTATAACTTTAAGGGGTGGTGTGGATGAGTTCTACCTTCTAAGGTTCTTCGGTCTCTAGCAGTGTTTCTGAAAGTCTTGTTCATGCCAGGGAGAGAAGAGTATAGCTATTATGATTGCAAGATGTGCATGAGAAAAAAATATATATACAGGGGAGATGCTATCATTGTCATTCTTCATGTTTCAAGATGAGAGCTCATGGATGAATTCTGGTCAGTTCAGAATAACAGCATAATGGAAGCAAAAGCTTCTGAGGTAGGAACAACACTAGTGCCACTTTAGGAATGTGGTAACCATAGTAACCAATACTTACCACAAAGAGTTCTGTTTTCTAGGATGTAACTTTGTGTATTCCCGTGAAAGTCAACCAGTGTTTTGGAGTAACATGTTACCTTGATCTTTAGGATCAAATAGTAAGTCAAGCAAGAAACCAGCATGAAGCAGGCAGAAAGCAAACAATAAATAAAATTTAATAGAATTTACTTTTTGTTAGACCACACATTTGACTGAAAGGGTGTAGTGCATTCCATCTGCAAGACACAGCTTGTGTTATCATCAAACTGGTATTATTATGTAATGACTATTGCTTCCAGGTATTATTATACTTTCCAAGGTAACACAACTTATAAAATTGCTCCAAGTGCATTTCAGTTTATTTTTAGAAGCAAATTTTGAATATATTTAATATCATATATAGTCTAACCATGTTCAACCCAAGATTTAGAAATGGTTGCAAAGTGATTGTGAGGTATATATAAAATTTATTTGAAATGACCAGATTTGCAGTTCTTGAGACAGAAGAGTCTGCATCCCACCATGGAGCTGATCAACCACCTCCATCACCCCCTCGCCGGCCATACAACAAACGACCGACTCATCCTCCCGTCAGGTAAATACCAATTTATTAGGTTAATTTATTCCATGTTTAGTTTGCCTTTGTCAGTGTTGGACCCATCTTGCCTGCTTATTGTAATCCTGGTCTCTATTTTATGCATCAAATGGATACATACATCTGCACTTATGTTACATAATAAAACTATAAATAAGGCATGAAGAAACTAAGTAAATACCTAACAAGAGAATGAATTTAACCATTAGATAGCAGCTGTAGGGAAGTTGGGTTGATTGGCCAGTTTGTTCCTGTTCCTTTACACTGCTGTATTAGCTACTGAAGTCATGTACATAACATCAAGGCAAATTCTATTTAAGCATTATACTTGCATGAAATTCCCCACACCCACAGAAATTGTGCAGGATCTCACTAATAGTAATATACATGGTGTCCCAGGAGGAATGGACCAAACTTCGGGAGGGTGTTCCTTATGTTAAAGTATGCCGATATAACCCAAAACACCTATGTCCAAAGTTGAACGGTTACGGAGATAATGGCCCAAGAAAAGTGTGATCTTCTGGCAGGTCCACGCACTGTACCTGTCAGCTGAGAGGCCTTATCTATGTTTGTCCTTGAGTGCCGTGATTCACCCTAGCCCTACGTATGTAGTTGGCTTTATCAGAACGCGCAGTCAGCCATGTTACGTCAGCGCCTGCCATTCATGTTACGTCAGCGCCTGCCATTCATGTTACGTCAGCGCTTGCCATTCATGTGTCATGTATAGTGCTTGGAAACCCTAAGGACAATTATGACATGGCGAGCGAGTATTTTGTACTTCAATTTTATGGCTTCACGTCACTCACAAGTTAGTTTGATGTTACATACATTATTAACATTACAGAATCCACATATTCCTGCCAGTTTTAATATGTATTTTGTAATCAACAAGTGTGTAACACCGGTCAAAGTTTGACACTTCTCTGGCCATTATCTCCGTAACTGTTCAACTTTGGACATAGGTGTTTTGGGTTATATCAGCATACTTTAACATAAGGAACACCCTCCCGAAGTTTGGTCCATTCCTCCTGGGACACCCTGTATATGTTTCATGTCACACTCATTATTTTTTTATTTAATTAATAGCATATTTACAATCTACTCTTGATAATATGTAGTAATAAATAAATACAGTCATGAATCAGACACAATAGTCTCAGTATATCAGAAAGGCATTACTACAGATGCAGTTCTGTTGTAATGTTGTATCAATTGTTGTTTTCTCTTACAATAAAACATTGTATATTTTCTCGGTGTCTGTTGATAATTATTAAATCTGTTAACTTGTAGGTTATTTCATGACACTAGACTATGCAGTGTCAAATGGTAGGATGCCAGATAAATGATCAATTGGAAAGGATTTGGAAAGAAACGTTTGTGGCCTAATCAAGGCACTATCCCAGCATTTACCTGGAAAGAGTGAGGGAAACCATGACCTCAGTCAGGACAGCCTGTGTCTGATCCAAGACTGGAATTTGGCAACTCCCATGTAGAAGCCTATAGCATTATTGTTATGCCAGCCTGTTCAATAGACATTGCTTAATTCGCTTAGTGGGGGATGGAGTCCAACTGGGTCCACTCGGCATGGTGGCCACTGATTGGCCTATTGTAGCCTGGCCTGGTGATTATGATGATGGAGAATTTTGTGGAATGAAGATTGGCAGGGGAAACCGAAGTATTCGGAGAAAACCCACCCCAGCGCCATTTTGTCCACCACAAATCCCACTTGACCAGACCCTGGATCGAACCCGGGCCTCTGCAGTGGGAAGCCAGCAATTAACCACTTGAGCTGTGGCATGGCCATAAACATTACTTAATGAAATAATATTTTGTTTGCCTACATTTCTCTTGCATCTGTTACCTGCATCAAGGGGTTTGTTTTTTATAACCAAATGACTAGAAGCATGGTTTCTTACAGGATAGACATGTGCACTGTTGGGGATGACTCCACCTGTGATTCAGCGCAGAATGAAATGTGTCGTACTGAGTTAGGAGTCTCTTCATGTCATTGCCGACCTGGTTATAGCCGCCGCAAGCACAGAGAGCCATGTAGAAGTAAGTCACATGTACTTCACCTGTCTGTCTTTCTTCTAGACCAGTGTGATCCTCTTAGAACAGTTTAATCAGATTTTAGATACATCTGATACAGCAATTGCAGGTTGTACAACAGTACTGTAAATTAACATAAAGAAATGGTGCAGACTGAATATATATGGCCATTGACATATGCCCATTGCTACACAACGGTTCTAGTACTGTGATTCATTACACACAGCATAACTTTAAATGTTGAAAGCTGATATCCATGGCAAGGAATGGTTCAAAGCACAGCAATGGAGGGACACGATAAGATTAACTGTTGGGAACAGTCGCATATTCAGTCAGCTGAATGGTTATGTCAGACACAGTAGTCAGAAGTCAGAAGTCAGAAGTGAAGTCTTTATTTTATGTGGTGTAGTTACAGTAACCTTTAGAGTATTATCATTGTTTGTAGTTACGAACTGTTATAGTTACAGTAAGGTTGAAATGGTTACAATCAATTGTAGTAGTTCCACTGGTGAAGATCCAATAAATCAACTCACTGATCCAAACCAGCTTCTAAAGTCACTAATATATGTGAAAATACATACTAGTCTTCCCCCAATGTTTTATTTTTTATTTAAGTATCTGACCAGCTCTAGAGCTTTCTCTGAAAAGCCATTTTAATTCCTGAGTGACAGCTAGTTATATAAACTCAGTGTTGCATGCTACATAAAACTCATTTTGGTTGATGATATAGGAGAATGCCACTGTGACCTACTTTAAGGGTTACTGTGACATTTTCTGGGAGAAAAACACTTGAAATATGTGAGATTTGAGATTCTCACAGTGCCAAGATGTGACTTGCATAGTATCAGACTACAAGGCAGCACACTGCAGAAGACAGGACACTTAGAATGGGTATAACCAAGTCAAGGAGGGCGAGATGGACAGGACATGTAGCAAGTATGCAAGAAAGGAGGAATGCACACAGGGTTTCAGAGGGAAAACCAGAAGGAAAGGGACCATTATGGAGACCTAGAAATAAATGAGGCAATATTAAATTGGATCTTTGAGAAACAGGGTGGGAGATATGAAATGGAGTCATCTGGCTCAGGATAGAGACCAGTAGTAGGCTCTTGTGAACATGGTAATGACCCTCCAGGTTCCATAAAATGAACATTTCTTGAGTAGTTGAGCAACTGCTGGCTTCTTAAAAAGGGCTTGGTGCCATGAGTTAGTTAGAACTCTTAGAAAAGTTTGTGTCTTAGCAGATATATATATACTAGAATACCCAGAAAGTTATTGTATGTAGAGGAGGGAGACTTACTTCCTAAAGATCTGATTCCATCCTTGGAAAAAAACTGAAAATTTATGCTAAGAATTTCAGAGAACAATGAAACCTTACAGAATCATCATTCACATTTACTGTATTCAATTTATGTTCTTTATTAAAAGACAATTAGACGCCCATGTGCTTCATACTTCTTATTGGAAGACAGAAATTTCATTAATTTCTTGTCTTGAAACCTTTCTATTTAAGAATACTTGCAGTAAATAAAGTCAAGTGTTTTACTGATATTTTTCAGTGTCATGTAATTAGTTTGTAAATCACAGTATGGAGAATATTCTCTTTACTGTATTTTGTGAGAAATATTTTGCTTCTTTCCTCTTTCAGCAGTTGGAATACTCACTATTATAGATGGGTTTGGAACAAGTTCATTTTGTTGAAGCAGCCAAATATATTGTGACATGTTGCGCAATGGAGAACCCCTCCCTACCCAGCAGCAACGTGGCAACTCAGGCCACAGTGACGTGGTGGATGAGTCAGCGCTCCCCCCCCCTCCGCACGGCAACGTAACGCGCAACGCGTGGTGACATAAGGCGGCGTGAGGTAACAGCATTGGTACATAACAGGCACGCACAGCCGCTATATAAGAGAGCTGCGCTGCCTGCAAGAGTTAGTTGAAATGTGGCCATCGCCGAGTTCAGTTCCGAGTTAGTTCCGAGCAAGCCTACAAGCGAGTGTGTGATCAACGGTCCTCAAGGCCTGCGAGCAGAGTTGGAATCTAGCCAGTGGCAAGTTACGAGTAAAAGTGTGATAATCAGTGGCCATTTGTGATAACTGAGAATTAATTGGGAGTGTGTAACACAGTGACACTTGTATAGCTCCCGTACTGTGCAATGTGTAGTCTACTGACAATAGCGGTCCTCAAGGCCTGCGAGCAGGGTTGGAATCTAGCCAGTGGCAAGTTACGAGTAAAAGTGTGATAATCAGTGGCCATTTGTGATAACTGAGAATTAATTGGGAGTGTGTAACACAGTGACACTTGTATAGCTCCCGTACTGTGCAATGTGTAGTCTACTGACAATAGCGTGATTTGATTTGCGAATAGGGTTATAAATTGTGAAACCCCGCAATATTGTTGTAATTAATTGTGGCCGTGACTTGTAGGTTGTTGAATAAACCAGTTAACAATCCGAACGGCGTCTTCAGTAACGAAACACGTTACAATATTTATAATGGATCCACGGTATTTCTGTTTGCAGGGGTGGTATCTATATTGATGTCTCTACGAGTAGATCGACTGTATGACAGGAGGGTTGTGTGGGATGGAAAACTACAGAACCCAGAGTCTGAGGAATACAAAACACTTGAATGGGAATCTAGTCGAGCAGTAAGTACTGGATACAGGAGCGTTACAACTAGAAGTGAACAAATTATCATTCTTATAAACCCTAATTTTTATGTGACTCATAATGTTACTGGGGCACATGGTAGCATAGTTGGTCTAGGCATTATGCTTCAAGCCAGAAAGTTGTGGGCTCAGTTCCTGATGAGGCCACTGGATTTTTTATTGATCTAGTCCTTCCAGCCGCACTATGGCCTTGGGGTTGACTCAGCCTGTAACAGAAATAAGTACCCGGAACCTTCCTGGGGATAAAGGGTGGTCAGTACATAAGGCTGACAACCTTACTGCAATCTGTGATCCAATTGTCTGGAGAAAATGTGGGAGCCTTGATGTCTCACAACCCTGTGAGCCTTCACTGCCTGTCACAGGAATAGCTTTACCTCACCTTTACCTCATCTCATAATATTATTACTGTACATGAAAAATATTCTTCAAAATATGTGAATTCTTTTTTCTAGAAGAGTATACAAATTTAATGGGGTGTTACTGCATTAAATGTAATATTTACTCATTTGATTATTATATTTTGGGGGAGAATTCTACAGTAAATGAAAAGCACATGAGTTAGTTCAATTATTATTTAAGTAACTATATTATACGAGGGGGTACCCAAAAGAAACCGAACTTATTTTTTTTTAAACTTATTTATTCAAATTTTAAGCACAAACCTTCAATCCCCTTCAAAGTACTCTCCACTTACACTAATACACTTGTCTAGTCTTTTATTCCATTTTTCAAAACATTGTCTAAATTCATCTTTTGAGATGCTTGACCGCCTCCGTCGTTTTTTCCTTCACCTCAGCAACATCAGCAAAACGCTTTCCTTTCATCTCTCTTTTCATTCAAGGAAACAAAAAAAAGTTTTGATCATTTTGGGACCCTTCTTTCAAAGCACAGCATGCTTCCATGCAACCTTGTTTTTGTTCAGCAGTCAGCAGTCGTGGCATGAATTTTGCAGTCACCCTTTTCGTTCCCAAATCTTCTGTCAAAATTCGCTGAACTGAGCTCCAAGTCACTCCCGACAGCTCCACAATTTCTACAATGGTCCGTCGTCAATCTTCCTTGATGATTTCACGAATTTCACGACCAGAACGAGGTTTGTCATCAATTGACATTTCACCATTTTTGAAACGGGAAAACCACTCAAACACTTGAGTTTTCGCCATAGTATCGTCCTTGTACGCCGTTTTTAACATTTCAAGAGTTTGTGTTCCACTTTTCCCAAGCAAAAAGCAGAATTTCACCACCGCACGCTGTTCACGAAAATCAGCCATTGCAAAAATGACGATCACACAAAACAGTTTAACTGTAAACTCTGCCGAAACTAGTCCTTACCTTCTGAAGCAACGGTAGTCGGCTTATCGACTCAGGAATGTTAGCTCTATGTGCTCATAGCGGCAAAATGCGGTGCTACAAAAGCTCTGCCCACAAAAAAATTAGTTCGGTTTCTTTTGCGTACCCCATCGTATCAGTTTGTTCAAAAGTTCAAACCCATATCCAAATAGAATCACTATTAGAGTGGGTAGAAGTCCCAGTGAACAATGAATCTATATTTCTCTGTATGAAATTCAGCTTTAAATGTTTCAGTTAATGTACATGAGAACTGATATATGCCAGAACTTAGTTATATCGATTTCAAGACCAGAACATCAGATTCAGTGGATGCACATTTTAATTTAGATCTTACATACTTTCTTTGTTTATATTTCATAATTATGTCAGTTGCCCAGCAGGCCCAGCAGTATAACACACGTAGTCACAGGAGCAAGACACAACAAAAAGCACAATAAACACATGAAAATAGAAAGAGTGCTCCAACAGAAGAGGATAAATGTGACTTGAGTAGTGAATACGACATAGGAAAAATCCTGAAAAATTTTATATTTTAATATTTAATTTTTAACATTTATCAATATATATGATAAATATATATTTTAATTATTTTAATATGAAGACGACAAGGCATGTAATGAACTAGTTTAACGTTAAGCAAATAAGCACCTGAGGATGGCACTTTTGTGCCGAAACATGTAGTGCGAGTGAGAGGAGTGAAGTAGATAAGTGTATGCACTAGAAGACGGTGAAATAAATCATGCACTAGAAGACGGTGAAATAAATCATGGACCAAAACATTAGTAGCACATATAAAAAAAGGGTCTGTTTGAAAGAGTTAGTCCAAATTGCTGAACTGGAATTAGCTCGTCTTAACAGAGTCATCTGAATAGGTCTGGAATAGCTCTTTCTAATGAACCCAGAATAGGTACCCATCACCTGAGTATGGAAGATGTTAAGAATACTGGACAAGGGACAAAGTCCAGCAACCTAATAATACCAAATGTGATAAATTATCCTTAAAACCATTTAGCAAGCCTGTCAGTATTTATTCAAGACAGTAAATACAACCTAGGGAAAATGTAACCACTACAGTGCTCCAAATAAAAAAGCTCATCTTTCCATATTTTATTTCCAGATTGATTCTGCAATGCTTATGACTCCATTTTCTGATGACTTCATGGGTGTACGTGTCAATGGCCTGTATACTGTGCCAGAGGGTGCACAGCTTGGTGGCTCAAAATGGGGAGCAGTGTTTGTCAACCTGACATTGCAATTGGAGGAGAGTGCAGAGACTCTTAGACCAGCTGTGCGACATGACATACAGCGCCATCTGCTAGGAGTTATCCACAGAAGAAACAATAATGTGGGCCACAGTGCACTGTGGGTTGATAGTCCACCTGGCTCCATATCACACCTGCAGGGTAATACAGATGTTTAGTACTGGGTACTTGGAAACCTGAGGACTGGAACTGATGCTGCTGCTTCCTGTGCTGACCAACCTCTCCCTGATATCAAGGAATGATGACTATTTTAACCTTCTGGCTTAATTTTTAAATGGCTTAGTCTACAAAGGGGAGCTGGGATAGCTTAATCAATATAGTAACTATACTACTGGCTTTGGGCTTGATTACTAGCAAGGGGAGCATTTTTCTTTCCACAGTATCCAAAATGGCTCTGAGGACCACACAGGCTCCTATCCCATGCATACAGCTCCAAGAACATGAATCTGACCACTCCCACACATCTAGAGCCCCAGATTAAGAATGCGTAGAGCTATATCACCATTTTTCTACAGGTCTCCTTGGTGTGGTACTTAAATAAGAACATGGACGACTTCATCTGTAGTACATGAAGGAAATGTATCATGGACTTACACATTTATGTAAAAGTTGTTATTTTCTTACATATGAATTAGTGGCCTCCGTAGGCTAGGGGTAACGTTCCCACCTCATGACTCAAGGTACGCGGGTTCAAACCTGGCAGAGGTCATGGAATTTTTAAGGGCGCAAATATTCAGGGAACAAGTCCTCTGGGAGGGACTTTAAGCTGTGTGTCCCATGTTGTAGATTTATGGCACGTAAAAGAACCTAATGTCTCTAGGAGACCTCTGAGCAAAATTAGGCAACACATTTCCCGCCCAAGTAGTTTCCAATGCCTCTGGTAGATGGGGGAAGTATCAAGGTACCGAGGGCCGACCTCGTTGGCTCAATGGGGCTGATAGCATGCACCAGTACCGGTAGGGTATGGAGACTGGTAGAATATCAAAGGGGGACGTACAATAGATCAACAACTGGTCGCGGTGCATGGGGAAACCCACCCCCTCCAATAATAATGATAGTACATATGAATTATAGGTGTATTGCCATTCTAAAAAATGAAAAGTAAACTGTTTGGAATGTCAAAAAAAGACACTTTTAGGACTGCTGTTCATTTGTGCACCTGTGGATATGTCTGTCAGTGCAGACCTCATGCCTGAATAGTTATTCTTATAGGCCATATGTTAAGAGTTTACTTCTTATCATTAAGCATTATTTTTAAATTATACAGAAGATGAGTTCATCCTAGAAGTATCATCAGTCGATTCTCTGTCAGCTGAATACTGGTACAGTTGAATTGTGCCTTATGAGACAGAAGCTGATCTCACACTGCCACTAAGAGGTGCCTAATTCAGCATGATGACACCAAGGAGCTTGGGGGAATAGACTAACGACTACATGCATTCTTAGTCTCAGCACTAGGTGGAGGCAGTCAGTTCTAATGCTCTGGCAATTTCCCAATAAGGAAAGAGCCTAACTCACTGGATGGGAGGTTGAATGGGCCTCAAAGTTTATTCAGATATGGTGAAAAATGGAGAGACCATTGATTATGCAAGGAATTGAAACAGTCGTCTAGCTCAGAGCCAGTCACTACAGTGATAGGGCTATCTTGATTCATTTTTACTGCCACTTCTAGGATTATGACAGTGTGGCTTCCTTAAAGTTATACAACATTGCAGGAGTCCAAAGGAGATGCCCATTTGCTGTTTGGATCGATTCCTGATCTGTACTTAATTGCTGTCAGATTATTCTTTTTGTGACAGGAGGAAATAATGGAGAACAAAGACGTGAATAAGCAATTTACTGGAACTTGACTAGCTACACAACTCCCAGTCTCAAGGACTAAGCTCCATAGAGTTAGCTAGGAAACAAGAAGCAGTTCCGGAATTTATTCTCCAAATGTGATCACCAAGGTTCAGAATATTTTCTCTACTTCTGTTGCTTGGATCTGCTGAAAGTTGTGAGCGCCTGGATCTAGCCTGTCACTACATGTCTAATTCAGTTCTTCAAGTGTCCTTCGGAGTAATGAACTTCTAATCATACAAAGACTTTGTTAAGCATATATGCTTGTTTCATGTCTTTTTGCAGATGTAAATGAGTGTACCAGTCGAGAACTCCATGACTGCCACCATGAAGCTCAGTGCAGCAATGTGTTTGGATCCTTTCGCTGCTCTTGTCCAGAGGGTTACCGAGACCCTTGGGCTGGGAATCCTCATCGCAGTGGTCGTCAGTGTGAGACATGCTCACCTGAGCACTGCAGCGGTCGTGGGGAATGTCGTTATGAAGCAGGGCAGCCAGTCTGCCAGTAAGTACTTTCAGCCTGTTTGTTATGACACAGGTACACTGTCTCCTGAATACGCATTGTAAAACTTTTCATATTATGAAGTAATTTTTAAATATTTCTTGTTACCCCTCTCATCTGTCAGAGTACAGTTGGAGTGAATGTTCACACAAAATATAAAGGAGATTTAAGGGTGCATTTTGAACTGTATCAGTGAAACTAAGCATATTAATTCTTTCTGCTTCATCAAATGAAAGAATTTCCATATCTGTGAAAGAACAAAGTCATCCTGTTGAAGCTATCCCTCTAACAGGCCATGAAGGCCCATAGGGTTGTGAGACGTTGAGGCTCCCACATTTTCTCTAGACAATTGGCTCAAAGATGGCAGAAAGGTTGTCATCTTTATGTGTCAGCTGCCATTTACCCCCCAAGATTTCTGGTATTCATTTCTGTTAGAGGCTGAGACAACCTCAGGGCTATTGTGCTGTTGGAAGGATCAGGTAAATTGGGGGGGGGGAATCACCTCATCAGGACTCGAACCCGTGACCTTATGGTTTGTAGCATAGTACCTCAACCAAATATGTTACTGCATGACCCATCATCCTGGTGAAGAATTAAGTTAAATATTATTATTATTATTATTATTATTATTTTGAGTATTATTATTATTATTATTGGAGGGAGTGGGTTTCCCCATGCACCGCGACTAATAGGGTATTGTACATCCCCTTTTGATATTCTACCAGTCACCATACCCTGCCGGTACTGGTGCTCACTATTAGCCCTGTTCAGCCAGCGAGGCTGGCAGTGGTTCCCG